TACAGTCTGGGGTCATTCCTTCAAAGAGGGTTGCAGACTGATACAAGGTTACTTTAATTAAATGTTAGCTTGTGTTAAAAAAAATCATTTTGGGTACTAGGTTATTAGCAATTTTCTTTTTCAGATGGTCTAAAGAAAAATGTGTGAAAGCTCATTGAATGCTAAAAATCTGATGCAAAAATATTTATTGCCATTATGTACCATAAACAACTGTATAGATTTTTTTATCTCTTGATATGAGGTGTGCACATGAACAATGATGCTGTGATTATTAATATCACAATGAAACAGAACATCACATCTGATATAGGTTGATAAAGGTGGAGCATATATGGGACTATTTATGGGATGTGGCATCTTTGGCTTCTGAGTCGCAAGTTTGAATCCAGGGTGCCTTGGTAAAGTGACTGACATCAGATAATATCTGATACTTTTCAGAAAGGAGCAACAAAAGAAGCCTTTTCCCTTGGCTGTTCTTGCATGGGTAATGTTTCCCACTTGCAGTGAATTTTGATGGGCTCATCACATCCATCTTCTCAGAGCTCAGTAGCTTTTATGACACTCAGTACACTGCAAAATTCAAGGGCTACCCTCATTGCATTCTCGAGGACCCATTTTGGAGTCCAGATTTTGAGTTACTGTCAGGAGCAGGCATCTGCTGCATCCCAGCTTTGTGGCTCTCTTCAAACCATTTTATCTCATGACCCTGAAGGAGCATGGTGAAGTTCATAAACCACATAATTTGTTTTCCACCTGCAGTAAGCTGAAATGTTCAAAGCATCCTCCATACAATCTGAGTCATTTTCCATTTGAAGCCATGAGATCTGCAGGTATTGAGCCACTAAAAGGAATAGGTTGGATATGCCTCATGTTAAACACCCCAAAAATCAAAATACATAGCTTCTCTCTGAAATACTGCTTCTTTGTGAAAACTTTGGCTTAGTGCCTACAACCATTTTCAGCCAGGAGGAAAGATGACATTGCCGCAGATTTTTTCCTTGCTGTGAAGAACTAGCAAGGTGAATATGCAATGAGGAGGAAATTGCTGAAGTATCTGTCTTAGAGTGGCAGAGTCTATTGAAAAAAAAGGAGAGGGGATACTTGAGCAATTTCAGCCCTTTCACATATGCAGCTCAAGCTGAATCTTCAACAGTCGGCATCTCAAGAAAAATGGTTGGCAGTGACCAGACTTTGCTTTGTCTGGTGCAGACCCAGATCTTGTTCTCATCCATGGGGTTTGTGTCTGTATCCCTGAGAGCAGGATTTGGCCTTGGGAGTGGTTCTATCCACAGATGCAGCCGATGATACAGCTCAGAGGACGGGGAGAATGCAAATTCCCTGCAGGGAGGCAACTGCCAGATACGTAAACAAAGAACCTTCTGGGTGTGCAGCAGTCAGCCCACTTGAGCTGCTGTTTCCATGGTATACCAGATGCTGTGAAATATGCTTTCTTCAGGGGAAGGAGCTTTTCCTACCCCTCTATTATCCTGTTTGATGATGGACTGACCTCAGGCTGGTACCTCACTGCATGGGCCACACGTGACAGGTCCCCCTGGCCCAACCATTTTCTGAGTTGATGATGATAGCTCATCTCTGCAGCTTCCAAACAAAGAAAACACTAAGTGGTTTTTTTTAAGCTTGGAACATCATTGCTAACGATGCTTTTAATTTTTACTACTGAGTGTTTAATGCACAACAGTTCTTCCTGATGCACATGGTGTCATATCATCATACTGAGTGTTTTTGCTTTTCTGTTTCCTTATGTTTTTCAAAAAAACCCAGAAGAATACATATATTTCCATTTTCCTCTGATTATTGTTTTCCTAATCCCCATGTTGTTTAGTTATAATTCCTGGTTTAGGGAGCATAAGGCCACTGGGTACAAGTCAGCAGGTGCCATTTCTGAGTTTGACTGCAGATCACCCAGTGGATAAATAGGAGGAAAGGAAGCAAAGATGGGTGATGTCTACTCCCATTTTCTTGTAAAAACAGCAGCTGATTGTGAGCAGGTGCTTTGTTATGTCATAGATACTAAGTACAAGTGCAATTATAAAACATGGACAAGTCTGCCATAATTGATTGAAGGAAACCAAATTCAGCCAGTGTAAATAAATTACCAAAAGCACTTATGAGGCTTGCTGTGCCTCAAGCATGACTCAGGGGAGAAGGTGAGGATGTTTTCTGGGTACCTGTCTGCTGGAGGGTGTGTTTGGGGATGGTGGTGCAAAACTGGCAGAGCTGCGTGGATGGGGCCTTTCCCCTCACTCTGAGACCATGCAGGTTCCTTGGCTTTCCTTGTGGCTATCAAGAGCAAACAGAGGGGCCTTTTTAAGGCTCTGGCTTCCTACAGCTGAAGGGCATACTGTGGTGTGTCAGGGATAGATGCACATGCTCTCTGCCCTGTTACAGTCCTGCCACCACAGCTCCATGGGCTCCTGTGTGTGTTGTGGGCTTCTCTTTCCCAGGCCTGCTGCCACAAGACGTGCTACCAGGTGCTCACCAGTCCCTGGAGGAGGCCAGGACAGCAGTGGGTCCCAGGGGTGAACAGTGGAGGCTGTAGTGGTGAGTATGTGTGTGCAGTGCTGCACAGCATGGGAAAGTGTCCTGGAGTGTAGAAAATTAAGGCTTCTTTTACTCCTGAGGATGCTTTCTCATGGTCTTTCCCAGGTGCTTTTCAACTCCTTCTCTTCCCCCATCCTGCAGGCTAGTGCTTCTCACTTTAGGGGGAAAAAAAAAAAATTAAGTGTGGTTAATTTTAAGCCAGTGCAATTATTTAGGAGCCCTGGAGGTGGAAAGCCAGTTACTGGTTAACAGATCTGATTTGAAACGTGTTCTGCCTGACCCCCCCTCTAATGTAGTTGAGCCAGAAGCAGCTCTTCCAAGAAGCTGGCTTTCTGGAAGGCTTTTCCACTGAATCATTTAAAGCCTAGGCTTCTTGAAAATGTTAATATCCTGCTGGCTCACTGGAATGCAGCTGGTGGGTACAGCAAGTGCAATACCTATGTGCGTGCCTGCAATCCAAAGCACAGCGAGCAGGCAGGGCTCAGGCTGCAGTGTGGGTGTCCTTGCTGGAGGCTCAGCCTAGGAGGGAAGAGGGCTGGAGATCAGACCTGGTTTGGCATTGCCCCGCAGGGCTGGAAGTTCCTCTGCCCTGCCCAAGCAGTGGGGCTGTGATACAGCAGTGCTTTGCACACTGGTGGGGCTGTGGTGTGACCTCGAGCTGTGCTGGAAGCGTCACTGTGTTTGTGCAGCCTGGGCACTGTGGCCACAGTGTGCCCGTGGGCTGAGCCTGCAGGGCCAGCCTGAAATAGCTGCATGCACAATCTGAGCCCAGGATTCCCCCTTGCACCAGCAGACAGCCCTTATAATGCTGAAATCACAGTAATTGCAGGCTGTGTACCTCTGTGGCAAAAATGCAGGTCGGTGTGAATGTGTGTGTGCCTTTCCCCCTCCCATGGTGTCTGCAGGCAAAAGCCTTTTTGAGTTAGCTGTCTGTGTTTGTGGTGTTACAAAGCCTTTGTCCACCTTAGCTTCTCTGTGCTAATGTGTGAGGCTTTTCTGCTTACCTCAGGAGTGAAGAATTTTTCAGGGAAGAGTATATATTATTTTCAGGCAATATACATTCTCCTCAGGCTGTCATCCACCTCTTTCATAATTTTATCTTCAGCGTATTTTCTTACACGTCATCCTGTGGTTTTTGTAGCTAAAGGAGAACCTAGAGTTCTTGCCTTAAACTGAGGACATATTGTCCTGCAGAATAAAAGTGTTACAAGTCCAGGATTGTAAAAAAAAAAACAAGCACAACTGTACTATAAGAATTAAAAAAAAAAAATTGAGGGACTCTGTGAGGGCTGCAGATGGTGGCAAGTGCTTTGCTAATTTGAACAATAAGCTAGCACCCAAGAGTTTTAAGTCAGATCATTACTTTTGGTTACCAGATTTGCTTTTGCTTAGTGTGGCAAAATACTCTCAAAGCATACACACATTACATGGGCTTATTTATTTATGTCAACAGTAGATGTATTTACAGTAGTTGTATTGTTCTAGCTAATATACTGTGGGATGTTGTAAAAAGCAAGAAAGATTCAATATGAGACATAAGTATTCTACTTTTTTAGTGAATTTTCTCTAAAGAATGAAAATAGATCATGCTAGTCTGTCTTCTGTTAATATAAATGCAGATTAATGCAATCAGATGAGTTACTTTTTCCATAGACAAGTTGCAAACACAATGGAGCACGGTCCTCAAATATTGCAGTTTCATTAAAGCAGGTATTTTATCGTTCATTTTCAGGGATATTATATATTTTGCACACCTTCTTTAGATTGATCAATTTGAATTCATTTAAGACACTAACAATTGAGTATAGTGACAGGTATTTATTTAGATAAATGGATACGAATTTTCTTCAATTATGAAAATGGAAGACAGTAAAAATTTTAAAAAGAAATCTGCTTACTATTCTGCAGAATGTACCAGCTGACTGCCTTGTGCTAAACTTTGACTTGGCAGGTTTCAGGTTTTTTAATAATGGGACTAAAACCAAAACAAGATGACCTTGCCATGTTCCCTGTGCTTCCCTTTTGTGTAGTAATTCATATACTTGTCATCTTATTAATTTATCTGTTAAGTTTTCCATCCATTTGCATATCTGAAAAAATTGAGTCAGGACCAAAATGATGAACTTAGTTCAAAAATATTGAATCATGAAATGGTAACAAATTTTGGACAATAAAACATTGATGAAAACATATTTCATGGCTGTCCAGATGTTTTTTGGGGTTGGGATTTGTTTTTCTAGCCATCCTTTCTAGACTCTATGTTTGTGGACAATATTAGAAAGGTGAAGGTAGGAGTTAATACCATGGATCTCCTGGCTCAGGTTCTACCACTTGGTGTGAGTGGTAGAAACAGTGTGTAATAGAGCTTCTGCTAACCACTCTAAAATATTGTGGTTTTTTTCTTGCTCTAAAATATTGTGGTTTTTTCTTTCTTGCAGGGTTTTTGGGAGAGCCACACAAAACTCATAAAAGAGTATGGACCTGTTTGTGGGTAAGCTGAGCAGGGCTGTCAGCTTTCTTCTTTCTGGCTCTTGCTCTTTGAGTTTGTTGGGTGGGAGAGGAGAAAATGCCAAGATAAGATATTCATCAAAATGCAGAGTGCAGTGTTTCAGTTTGGGGGACAGAGGTGGAGGTGGTTTGATTACATGCAGCAAATACTCTTGGCTTATTTTAGTTCAGCATTTGGGATTGGACTTCATTTTTCTCTCTCTTATTTTAATTATGCACATAAAGTTTAGTCCTTTTCAGAACTGTACAAAGCTACCAGCCTTCAATATTCTCTTTTCATCTGCATATTCTTTATGCTTACAGTGAACAGTGGAAATAATAATTTGTCATCTTAAAAAACCCTCAGTTTATGAAATAGTATGAATTTGGTTCAGCTGTTGCTATCTATATTTATGCAAAATTCCTAAACTTAAAATACAATGAAGTACAGATTAGAAATGAGGCATTCCTCTCTCTATAGCTCAGCTGTGCTATCTTAGCAGTTTGTTAGAAGTAAAGAGGGTTTAAGCAGAATATCCCTTCATAGAAGCCCTTCCACATTTCCATGAATGTCATTTCTGTTCCAAGAACTACTTACTTTCCAGTTGTCATCATTTTAAGTGGAAATGCAGTTGTCCCCTGGTATCTTCTATTGTTGTGGTCAGTTGGTGTTTGTAGCATAACTATTATTTCAAAATATATGTATCAGGCAATATCCACAAATTATGAAAACGTCTTTTTTTTTCCCCATGGTCTGCAGGGAGTTTAAGATACCTGTAAGAGGGCACATACAAATGTCTGTGTGTATACATGTTTGATTACAAAAGATACCAATGAGCTCTGTATGCTCTCCCAGCAAAAAAGCTCTAGCAGAAAGAAGTCAGGCTCAAGCATTTGATGCTTCAGTCACAGCCACCTCGTGGCATTTATGCTCAGCCCTAAGGACAAAGTGCTGCAAGAAGTGATGGAAATAATGAATTCCAAGGGTTAGCTACTTGTCTAGGAGGAAATAATGCAGTATCTTGGCTGGCCAGGAATGGGGAAAGATATTCATTAATGCTGCAGCAATTTGTATGTTGTGTAACAAATGGAAAGTGACTGAGGCTTATTATCTCTGTGACCTTTGGTGTGATGCCCTTAAATGACAATAATGTAAGAACACTGGCATTTATTCCTCAGTATACTTCCCTCCTTATTAATATCATGCTTATTTTTTTCTCTAAGCTGAATTTGAGACAAGTTGCTATTTAGTCATTTGTCTGCTCACTCAGCCAGGCAAGGCTATGTCATTGGAGAAAGAGATGTAGAATTACAGCGTGTGAGCAGATAGAAAGTTTCCTTTGTGCAATCCACTTACAGGCTGTTTGGGAGTGAAACCTCTGTGAGACTTTCAGGGGCTGCAAAGCTGGGTGATGGTGGTTGTGGTCAGCCAGGATAGTTCTGACTCTTTGGGATTCTCTAGGTAGGAAGAGTGAGCATTGGTAAGCTTCATTTATTGCATGTGGTAAGCTTCATTTATTGGATGCATGGAAAACTCAATTTGTGAGGGATCTAGGGGGCTGGCAGAGAAAAAAAATCTGTTTTTCCATGTCTCCCAGGAAAACAAAGCTGGATGCAAACAATGCTGTGTTCAAGGTAAGGTCTATTTGTAGTTGAAGGAGGATGTTTTAAAACCTGGCTTGCAAGCTGCTGTTCAATAGGTGGGGCATGTGTCAGGGGGTATTTATCACAGTCCTGTCAATTAAAGAAATTCTTTCTCCTTCCCTGTGAGTCTTCATTGTGATTCTTTCTGTGGTTCTTTGAAACAGGCGAATAAATGGTAGGTGTGTTTATGTGTATATTCCCAGCAAAGTATTGGATCTGGCAGATGGAAGAAGATGTGGCATTTTTCTTTCCCCAGATTGAAACTGCTTTCCAATAAGCATAAAGAGCAATGATCTTTATTTCTACAGTGGTGAAGTGAGTTGAATACAAATCTTTGGAACTGAAGCCTTTTTTTCTTCCTAAGGTCACTTGAATAGTCTGAATGATACCATCACAACTGTTTTCTTTTGTGTGTGAATTGGTTTCCTTGACAACAGGATGTCAAATCAACTTTTCAGCTTTAATCAAGTCAAAACAATATATCCCTTCCATTCCAAAAGGCCTCAAGTCGGAGAGAATTATTTCAAGGAAGGCTTTTGTAGGTCACAAAAGCTTTTTTTCCCTTTGCTCCTGTGTGCAAATCTAAAGGAGAGGTGATGGTACTGATATTTTATAAAGACAGACAATGCAAATAGTCATCAGTTGTGAGTTTATGCTGTGAAAACTGTTTGTTTTCATACAGAGGTGGCCCAAGATGGAGGCCAAGGCAGAAATAAACAGCTCTGGTTTGGTGCAAAAGCAGAGATGGAACATTGCTATTAAACAGGGTAATCCAAGCCTGACATGACTTTTGAAGAGGTCCTGTATCAGTGGAAATCTTGGATTTAGCTGTGATTTAGAGTACATCCTATAAAAATGCTTCCTCTAAAATATGTGTGCTATTTCTCCATAACAAAAATGAAGTTGAGAACAATCCTATTTGGAAAACAGTGTACTAATACTTACTAAGATATGCCTTGAATATTTCCCTATTCACATAAGAGTTCTGTAGGAGAGTAGCCCTGTTTGCTGTGGAAATTAGTGATTTACACCACTCATTTTTTGGATTAATATTAATGCTATGTTGCTTTATTCTCACCTCCACCACAAAAATTGTTCCATTTCAATTGTAGGTTAATAGCTGCTGATTGGAAATAGGTGATAAAAGCAGACAGAGAAATAAAGAGGGACAACATGTTTTTTGGAATCAGAAAAGCAACTTCTACAATGTGAGAGTGAGTTAGTTTTGCTTTCTATATGCACCTAATGTGCATTTGACTGCTCTGCTGCAATTGCATCATTATGGCTTCACAGAACTGATTTGGAGTAAAAGAAATCTGCCAAAATAAGTAATATATTCTTGGCCCAACAACATACTACCAGTGGTTGTAGAAAATATGACACAGCCCCAAGTGGGCAGTTGATTGCTCTGGGATGAAGGAACTTATTCTGCCTTTGACTGTAGCAGTGCATTTGGACATGGGGAAGAATGTAAGAGGTCATAGACCTCACTGTGTATGAACAAAGAATGAGAACAGATTAAAATTCAGTGCCATTTGTGGGGTGACACTCTTTCTTCATGTTGTTTTGCATCTGAAAATGCTTGCAGCAGGTCAAACCCTACTCTTACTCTGTCTTGACTTGGACATTGAGCTTCAACCTGCTGTGAGAAGCCTGAAGATATTGTAGTAGAAGATCTGGTTTGTCAGTGTGGGGGCTTGGGGCTTTCCCCTTTTCTGGATGGAAGAGAGACATGCATTTCTGGGATCTGGGCATGTGGAATTTTACTCAAAGCCTTTTTCTTCCTTCTGCTGTCATCAAATACCTTGGGACAAACCTAAGGTGGACAGGGCAGGATCTCCTCCTGCAGGGAACAGCTGATGTCTTCATCATGGGCTGAGTTTAACTGAAGAAACAATGTCTTTATTGCTATTTTAATGTCACAAAATTTTTTAAGCCATCTATTTCTAGCCTCTTTCTGCTTTCTGTGGAAAAAGTAATTCCAGGAAAAGTATTCTCATCTTTGTTTCGGAAGGCTTATGGAAAGAAATACCTCAGTTTTATGAAAAAAATCGTGTCCTGTTTGATTTCCTCTTTTGCACTGGTGGTGGTGGGGGTCTACTGGACTTACCACCTCTCTTGGGTACTTCCTTTTTTTGATATTTTAAATAAATTACTTTTCATATTTCAGCTAGAAGAAATCATACCTGGACAATCAATGATCAGGAAAGGCAAGCTTCCTGTTGCTGTTTAAAGCTCCTCATAATCTGTTACCCATGTAACCTGACAGGGAACTTTGGTAGTCTCACTTGCCTGGATTTTTGTTTTCTTAAAGAGTAGTATATTTTTTGGCTGATGTCAGCTATTTCATAATGATTTATTTCCTTCTCACTGCTTTCTCCTTTATGCGTTGTGATAAGGTTCTTGTTGACCAGCCCCAGAATTGCTGATGTGGGTTAGAGTTATCTCTTTCTTCCATTAACTACCTGCAAATTGTACAGTACAGCAGAACCCCTAACTCTGAGTACATGAGTAATCACATTAAAGTCAATGGTATTGCTCAACATGCTTCAAGTTAACCAGAAGTCTGTCTACCTTGCTGAATCAGGGCCATAAAAAACCAATTGCATTTGTGCCTTAAAAATATTTTTAGTGCTGTTGGTACACATAAACTCCTAGTTCTATTGTACCTGGAAGAAGTTAATGGGGAGAAAAATATTTCTTCTCCACCCTCTCTTTGCATGTAGACAATTTAGTTGCTCTTCTGCAAAATGTCTTAGCCATTCCCTCTGAAATGGAAAATATTATTGCATGAATGGGCAGAGCAATAGGACAATCTTAATGTTTTTAAGTTAAACTTTCAAGAGCCTTTCTTTTAATCGCTATGAGAATTTGTAAATAATAAGCTATTTTTAAAAAATTGTTTTCCAAAAAAGAACTGAAACCCAACAATACTCCTGGCAGAAACTCCAGGGCAGAACTCATGGTACAATGCTAGATCTCCATCTGAATTCCCACAGTTAAGCATAAATAGGTATTGGTTATATTTGGCTCCAGTGGTTAAATCAAGCTGCTGGAACAAGTCTTGTTAGGAGTTACTTTGGGGTATAACATCACCAGTTTCTCCTCTTGTCTCTGGAGTTAATTGGACCTGAAAACATAGCCTTTTGTGGGACTGATGCCTAAAGACTTGCCCAAAAGGTGGCACACCACACTGTTCTGAGAGCTGGAGTCTGTGCCACTGTTACAGGTGGAATCGTTTTTGTGGCTGCCTGATCACTACTTGGAGTATTTTACATTCTGCATACAGATCCTTGGGCTGCAGATTGTTGGCAAAATTTACAGTAAATTAGTTGACCAGTTTAACTCTGGCATGTTTCA